CCCTTGCAGAGCGACCCCCCCCCCCCCCCCCCCGGCTCCCGAGCACTGAATGGTGTCGGGAATGGCGTCCACCCCCCCCCCCCTTAAGAGCGACCCCCCTCCCGGCTCCCGAGCATTGAATGGCGTCGGGAATGGCATCTCCCCCCCTCCCCCCTTGCAGAGCGAACCCCCACTGGCTCCCGAGCACTCGTCCACCCCCCCCGCCCCTTGCAGAGCGAACCCTCCCCCCCGCGCCCCCCGAGCACTGAATGGCGTCGGGAATGGCATCCCCCCCCCCCCCCTCCCCCCCTTGCAGAGCGAACCCCCCGCGGCTCCCGAGCACTGACTGGCGGGGAATGCGCCCCCCCCCACCCCCCCTGCAGAGCGAACCCTCCCGGCTCCCGAGCACTCGTCCACCCCCCCCCCACTTGCAGAGCGAACCCACCCACCCGCTCCCGAGCACTGAATGGCGTCGGGAATGGCGTCCCCCCCCCTTCCCTTGCAGAGCGACCCCGCGACACCCCCCCCGCTCCCGAGCACTGAATGGCGTCGGGCCCCCCCTTGCAGAGCGAAGCTTGAGCGAGCTCAAGTCCACGCTCTCAGAAACTCACACGCCGGATCGGGCGGATTACTATTATTTGTTTCCTCTTAGTCGACCTCTTCTCAGGAGGCCCTGGGCGGCACCCGCTGGCGCCTGGACCTCCTCCCCGAGAGCCTCAAGGCTCGGAGCAGGGCGAGCTGGGACAACGACAGCTCAAAATCGGTTTCCAGACCCCTCCCGGGGCCCAAACGCAGCAGTCTCCCGAGCTGCATCCGGCCGTGGCGACGAGGGCCCCCCCGCGCTGCCTCGGCGCGCCCTCCTCTGAAAAAGGCCCCCGGCTTCGACGACGGGGAGACCTCCCTCCTGCGCCTGTGGCGGCCTCCCGGCCCGCTGGCGGAGGACGCCGTGGCCGGCGTGCGGTCCTGGGCCCCGGGGCTCGGATGCTGGCTGCCCGTGGCGGAGCCCGGGAGCTACTCGCTGGCGGCCCGCCGCGATGGCTGCGGCGAGCCGGCCGGGTGGGCCCTGACGCTCGGCGCGCGCCCCGGGGCCACGGTGGACATCCTCGGAGGAGGGCGAGTCGAGACGGCGCCGGCCTCGGCCCCAGCATGGTTTCTTCGCCCTCGGCGGGCCTGCTGGAAGCTTCTCCTCGCCACGGCGGGCTCGGGCGCGGAAGTACGCCAGAGAGAAGCCCCAAGCAGGGGATGCTTTTCGCTGAGGAGATCAACCGGGAACCTGGGAGCCCAGGAACCTATAGAACCCACCGACATCGGCCCGGAACCAATAACCGGGAACCCGGGAACCGGGAACCGGGAACCCGGGAACCCGGGAACCCGGCTTGCCACCAAAATCGGCGGAAAATTTTGGCCAAATCTTTCAACTTCTGAGAGGACCCCTTCAGTGCAAGCACTGATTGGGGGAAAAGGAGAAGGTAAGCTGTTGTTTCAGGTTCCGGGGATAAGTCGGCGATGACCCGGATTAGCGGGCCCGCCCATCTCCGCCCCCCCTCCGCCCGTGGATAACCCGAACTTGTCGGTTGCGCAGGTCCGCGCGCGGGCACGCGTGGGGCTGCCCGAGGCGAAAAGGTTGGGTTTTCGGCTGGCACCGTTCCCCCCCCCACACCCATCGCATAACCTGGGTTATCGCCGGATGATGAAAACGATACCCAGACAGGCCCGGGAGGGGTGCGGACTCTTTGGATCGGCGCTCGGGTCCCCTCCCTACGCTCGCTCCGCGCGCCAGGAGCGGCGCCCGAGGCGCCGCCAGGGGGCTCCAGCGCCGATCCAAAGAGTCCGCGCGGACCTCCGAGTTCCCATGCTTATGTCAACGTTTGTTTCCCGACGATTTTGAGCGGAGTTTGGTTGGGCGGGGAAGCCGCTATTGCTGGCCCACCGCGCCCCCTTGCGCGCGCAGCCTGGCCCTCGTCGTCGTCCTCATCCCAGGTCCTGGTCCTCTTCCCCGCTCCTACTCTCCTCACTCCTTCCTCCACGCTCCTCCTCTCGTCTTCGTCGTTCTCCTCCGCCTCCTTCTCCTCCTCCTCTTCCTCCTTGTTGTCCTCATCCTTCTCCTCCTCCTTCTCCTCCTCCTCCTCGCACCGTGTCGCCCAGGAGAGGCTTCGGGGATAGTGCAGTTTCCTTTTCGTCGCCCCTGTTGCCCACGCTTGCGGTAGTGAGGATCAGGCCACCGATGCTCCACCGATGTTCCCCTCATTCTTCTCCTCCTCCTTCCCTTCATCCTTCTCCTCCTCCTCCTCCTTCTCCTCCTCCTCATTATCCTCCTCCTGCTCGTCCTCCTCTTCGTCCTGCTTCTCCTCCTTTTCATCATCCTCCTCCTCCTCCTTCTCCTGCTCCTCCTCCTTCTCCTCCTCCTCGTCCTCCTCCTCCTGCTCGTCCTCCTCGTCCTGCTCGTCCTCGTTCTCCTCCTCCTCCTCCTCCTCCTCCTCCTCCTCCTCCTCCTCCTCCTCCTAATATTCCTCCTCCTCCTCCTCCTCCTCCTCCTCCTCCTCCTGTTCTTCGTCCTCCTCTCATGCTGGTCCTCCTCCGAGCATCTGTCCCGCCTGGCTGCTATGGTCCTGCGCGGGGGGGCGGCGCCTGGTGCCGCTGCCCTCGGGCGTGGACGTGGGGCGGGCCGCGGCCACCAGCTCGCGCGGGCGCGGCAGAATCACCGTGAGCCTGCCGCTGGGGCGCGCGAGCGAGAACGCACACATGTTTGTATCTACAGCTGGATGGCATAAGCATAATTGAACATGTTAGCCAACGTGGGCCCCGAACAGGGGCCCCAACCAGTTTGTGTCTAGCAGTCGATACTGTGCTGTCTGTAAGGTGCACTACGTTGTGCAACATGGATCCATGTAAAGAAATTCGATTCCTTATACATGTATACGTATATATCACGGTCGGTTTCTGGTGTTATCTACGTGTTGCACATGATGTAATGCATTCTACGTTGAGCCATATGTGTGGTGCATCCTGTGTGATGCAATCTAGTACAAGGTGTGCAACATTTGTTGTGCAAAATGTGTGATGCTGTCTATGTGGTGCATTATATGAGGCGTAGCTCGACCTATGCTATGTGGTGCAGCATACGCGGTGCAACCCATGTTGTGCAACCCGCGTGGTGCAGCTTATGCGGTGATTTTTTTCAAATCAGTTGACACATCCCATGCTCTTGCATATATCCCACCCACCCGCCCGCAATTTGGTTTGCAAAACCCATGCGGCAGCGATTGCGATGAGTGCTTGGCGTTGGCTGGTGCATCTCTGCGGCCGCACCGACCCAAACACGCGCGCGCAGCGGCCAGCTAGTTTGTCGCGGCCGACGCGGCCGCGTTGGCGCTGACCGCTGTGCACATCCCAGCGGGCACTCCACTGCGAGTCGGCGACTTGGGCGGGCGCGGCATCGCGGTATCATGGCAACGCCGACAACGATAGACACGATGATGATATCAGCGGTGCTGGTGACGATACTGGCAACGACTGCGGCGCGGCCAGCGACGGCGCCGAAGCTGATCACGCCGACGACGATGACGGCGTCCTCGCGTTGGTAATGGAGGTGTTGGAAAGAGGTCGGCATGCGCGCGCCGCCTACGCGCGAGAGTGGCCCGCATGGGACTATTCGACAAGAGCCGTATCCCCCCAGCGCGCGCGCAAAGGCGTGCGAATGATTTCGGCATGCGGCGCGTGAGGCCCGTTTTGGCAGTTGCTCATGACCGTGCTGGTTGCAAAAAACGTTGTGTTTGTTAAGAGCGCGAGCGCAGGTTTGTTTGAAAACGGATGTTGCGAAACCGTGTTTTTTTGTATGTGCGTTTGGACACTCGGTTTTGACATCGCGACGCAATTCTGGGTTTTTGACGGATGTCGGCATGCGCGCGCGACGACGCGCACGCGCGTGCACTCCGCCCCGTTTGTTGCAACGGGTTCTCGCGACAGCACCCGCTCAAGGGCGTCCGAACGATTTCAACATGCGCGCGCCCGAAGCCTTGTTGGTAGCATTGTATGCTGTTTGTGGAAACAACAAAAAAACAAACATACATATGGTTGTCTGGTTTTGGTCATTCGATATTGAAATTCTTAGGACACCGAAGGTGTTTGAATGATTTCGGCATGCGCGCGCGACGACGCGCGCGTGCACGTCGTCTTCTTCTGTTGCAAAGGGCTTGGGGAATTTAAGGGTTGCTGGTAAACGAATGCGCGCGCATGTGTTTTTGCAACGGATCGCGGGAGGGACGGATACCGACTTGCCTGGGGTGCTGTGAAGTCACAGGGAAAATTTGCAAGGAGGCGACATCACATGTAAATTGCAGCACGCGACGCCGAGCTGATAACCCCAGGGGGGAAATAATCGAATTTCTTTTGGGAGGGGAGAACTGATGTTGTGCAAGCTATATGATGCAACCAAGGCGGTGCAACCTATGGGGTGCAACTCGTATGGTGCAATCTATGCAGTGCAGCGTATGCTGTACAATCTAAGGCGATGACGGGGTGGCGACGGTGTCAACATAACTGGCCGCCAGAGACAGACAAACCCAGACGATGGGCGGCGACGGGGCGTCGACGGCGACAACATAGCCACCAGACCGACTGACAGACCAAGACGACGGGCGGCGACGACGACAACATGGCCGCCAGACCGACAGACAGGCCTAGCTCATTAGAAAGGACAAAATCCTAAGTGCAAGCGTGTCGGAGAATTATGTGTAAAAGTGTAGATATTTTTCAAACGAAACGAAGCGGGCATTGCCCACCTCGATGACATCTGGGGACATCCCCGGTACCGCCCTCCCGGGCCTCCCAGGGAGCCTCAGGATGGCCTCGGGACGGCCCAGGGCGGCTCCGAGACACCCCACAAGAGCTTCCAGACGGCCCAGGACACCATCCCCACGGCCACGTGACCCCCGCGAACCCCCAGGACAGTGCACACATGGCCTCTGAGAGGCCTCCAACCTCGCGCCAGAGAGGCCCAAGGAAACCCGTGAGAGAGCCAA